ATGTTATATACTAAAAGCAAAGCTACATGCATGTGCTAGACAATTTTGAGTTTTTAAAGGGAACAAGGAAGCCGATTTAGTTCATCTACTTAACACCCCTATTCTTCATATTATTTTCTATTGAACATTTTCTTGCTGAACTTCCTATTTTATCCTTTCAGTTTTAGCAAAAGGAAAACAAATGCAAAAAGAATTAGTACATCACTTTGTAAGTTTAATCATTCTTTTTTGAAATCTGGTAAAATTCGTATTGTCAGCTTTACATGTTGTGTTTTCCTTCCACTTCTCATCCTCTACTGGAAACAAATTACAATGCAAATTTTTTATTTGGGAAACACATCCTGGCTCATAGAAAGAAGTTGAGGACTTACCTTTTGTCAATACTCAAGACTACTTAAAAGCAACATGCCTGTCTTTTAATTATAATAAAGTTGTTTAACAAAGTTATTACTCTAAATGTCTAGTGAGAAGGTGTCTTAAATCCATATTCCAAAATGTAAAATGTTGTAAGACTCAAAAACTATTAACCTACAGAAACCACTCTGATGTATTGTCCCATTGACTCATTCCTTCTATTTTTTTATTACCAGGTTGCTTCATATAAGCTTCGTATTCCTAGCTACTCTTTCTACAGTACTGATGGTTCTTCATGACCAAAGGGAGAAGAAAAGCGCTCTAAATTTTAACCTTAAAAAAAAAGAGAGAGAAAATATTCTACATGCTTGGATCTCACAGGATGTTAGTTTCTGAAAAAGAAAGCTAATTTCATTTATTCTACCTCTGATACCATTTTACAAGGCAAGATGGAAAGTGGACTGTCAGGGCATGGGTTACTACTATTTCTTCCTAGCTTCATGGGACGATTGTCACATTTCCCTGCAGACCTGTGGAATTACTACGGAGGCCTAGTTGAACAGGCAACTTGAGTTTTTCAGGGACATCAAATGTGGAGATCCTATGACTTTTTCATATAAAAAGACCATGAGGGGCACCTGGGCAGCTGGGTTGGTTGGGTGTCTGCCTTTAGCTCAGGTCATGATCCCATAGTCCTGGAATCAAGCCCCAAGTCGAGTTAGGCTTCCTGTTCAGTGGGGAGTCTGCTTCTCCCTCTCTCTCTCCCCATGGCTTGTGCTCTCTCTCTCTCAAATAAATATAAAATCTTAAAAAAAAGAAAAAAAAAAAAGACCATGAAACCAGAAAACAACTTGATCCTAACAAACAGGAACTAGAGTTTGCTAATACCAGGTGCTCAAGGAAAGCAAAGGAACTGAAGTATTGTCCTTTTACGGTTTACAGTCTAAACGGAAGTGACTATAGGTAGGTCAACTTTTATCCTTCAAAGAAAAGAGCAATGTTTGGTATAGTCTGATCTGCTTCTCCTTTCCCTAATTAGAGAACCCTAGATCAAACTGGAAGAGAGACAGAACATCAGTTTTCTTGAATTGCTTTGCATCTGTGAACCAAACTTCCCAGCACCAGATACCAAATTAGCATAAATTAGCATAAAAGTGAAAGGTCTTTTATGTATATCTGTGCCAGAGGTCACTTAGGTATAAACTGTGCAAGTAGAATATACTAAAGAACCCTCCAGGAAACTTTTTGTGGCTAGGATCCTGTATAGGTCACAATTTTCTTAATCTTTATAGATCTCTTACTGTATGTAATGACATTGACACATCTTTTTAAAATATGAATAAGGAAGTAGAGGTACCAAAAATACTGCTCTTGTCCACAGTGAATGAAGAGAAGTGGGTGTGGGAGAGGGGTGGGTGAGATTCAGGATAAGCGCATACCTATCAAAGCAAAAGGCTGACAACATTAAAATAGCCCAGTCATCCTTTTCAAAAAAAAATGGTCACTTGGCTAAATGGCTAAGAAGAAAACACCAGAAAAACACTGACTTTTACTAGGCACTAATAATCGTCAGACTTCTGCAAAAGAAAAGAGTTTAAGGGAAAGATCCATCAAAAGGACTTCCATTTCACTCATTAAATACATCTTCTTAAGGAGTGCCTGGGTGGCTCAGTCGTTAAGCATCTGCCTTCGGCTCAGGTCATGATCCCAGGGTCCTGGGATCGAGTCCCTCATCGGGCTCCCTGCTCTGCGGGAAGCCTGCTTCTCCCTCTCCTGCTCCCCCTGCTTGTGTTCCCTCTCTCGCTGTCTCTCTGTCAAATAAATAAATACATCTTCTTAGAGGTCCTTTTCAGCTCTAAGAACTATAGACTTCATCTCCCCTGACTTACAACCATTACTTCGGGTATTTGCTATTATTCAAAAAAGAAATGGATGTAAAAACAAATCTATCAATATGGATTTTTCTCATTTTAAGTTCTACGCTTCTAATTAATCATGGCCTGGCTTTAATTCATTCAAGATTTTTTTTTTTTTAATTCAAGCACAAGGTTCTACAAGCCCATGATGCTTTCTCTAAAATTATTCTAAGGCTGAAAAATGCCTGACAAAGGTAGAATAATCCAGTAAAAGAAAGGGTCTGTGCTCCTGAAGAGAGAATGGAATCATACTGTATCGTGGTAAATAAAATTCTATGAATGATGTGGCCAGTCATAGCATCATCTGTCTGTGGGTTACAGAACAAAATTCATCAGTCGAGTTCTCTAATGAGATGCCAAATTATCACACAAAATTGTTACACTAGCAAGCTCTCTCCAGATAGCACTGTTTGCAAGCATCATTCCAGATTTTAGTCACATCCATAGTATCAGGATCAACCTCTTAGTTTATTCTTTGCCACAAAAATCACTTAATTATCTAAAATGTTTCCCAAGGACCAATATGAAGGGTGATTAACTGTAGCACAAGTTGGTCTGACTCTTCAGGATCCAAATCAGGAACAGAATTCACTTACTTTCTCCCCACTAATCTATTTCGATCATTTTTCAATAGGAAGTTGGGTTTCTCATTATTCATCCAGCTACCTTAATATTTCTAACACTTAGTAACATGTCAAGGTACCAAAGAGAAATTCCTACTCTTGGAGGATGATAGAAGCAGGAGTAGTAATTAGAAATTACTGTAATCACTATAAGCCTTTAGAACCTAAGAATCACCCATGGTTGATTCTTAACAGGACACTTAGAAAGCTTCCTTGGTCTGTTAGCAAAATTAAGGGAAAACACCTCCTAAATGCCCTGTAATCATATGACAGACTAGTCTTTGCTGGGTTGACATTTCTGTAAGTTCAATTACCCCTTCTTTCCTTCCAGAAAATTACAAAAATCTTTGTGCAGGGAAGGGTCTCTAAAGATTGGAAGACTAAGAAAGTAGATGGTTCTGCTTATACTTCCCAGCCCCTTCCTTAAATGACTCCCCACCCCAAAGGCCATGAAAATTGGAAAGCATTTCATTAAGAGGAAGGCTTACGGCTATCAATCTTTTGCAAAATACTTCATCAGAAAAATCCCAGGGTGTTTCTCCAGTAGAACATTTTCTTCCCTGTCCACTTCGGTTTGACCGATGCTCTTATCTGTTGTTACAGGCATGGCTAAGGTTACAGAAGCTGGACAGAATTTAGAATGTAAGGCAACCCATGTCAACACATGAACGTGAAAGAAATTAAAGTATCATGTGAATAATGGGGGGAAAACAGAAAACTCTTTGTGCTCCCCCTCGTTGAGAAAGAGTACTCAGTCACCTTTATGATGCTGGAAAGCCTCAATCCCTGTTCACCAAAGTCCATGTTTAAAACCTGCCATATTAGCTTCTAATGTAGGAAATTTATAACCAGCAGAAATATGAAACCTCATGGTGTTGAACCCGCAAAGCTCCAAAGTAATCCTGATTACTTGTTATACTCTTGACATTGAAGCTAGCAGAAATACAATCTCCAGGGCCCCTTTCCTTAAGCCTGTCGCGTTGCCATAAGAAAGCACGAAGACAATGACCCAAACCTACAAACCCAGGTCTACAACCTTTCTTTCTAAACTATTCGAACACTTCGAAGCCTATTATTTTAATGGAGTAATGTTTAAGCACTAAAACATGAAAAACATAGGACTCTATCTCATGCCACTACCAAATGAAAAACCAGAAGCAATACTTTCCTCTGGCTGCAATAAGCAATTTGGTGAAATGCTGAATTTAAAGGGGGAACATTACATTTGAAATTTTCTTTTTACATAAAGAATCATGATTCTGAAAGACAATCCCTGTTCACCAAATTCCAAGTTTAAAACCTGAAATGAGTTTTTATTGAAATCGTGTTGACTACATAATACTCTTGTGGTTTAAAGGAAAAATATTAATGGAATTTATAATTTCATTAGATTCCACCTAATCTAATTTCACTATCACTATTATTCACTTATCAACTCTGAAACGCTATCAGAGGAGAAGGTTTACTGTAAACACTTTGTCTTTGCCTCCTCTCTTCGACTTGACCCTTCCAATACTTGTAGTCTGCTATGGCAAGACATGGCTTTGATTACCTTCTGATAAGGATTATACCACTTTTGCAACGTCATTCTTATAGACATTTAATCTCTTTCATCTTGAGACATTTATTTGATTAAAAAAAATTTCTCTCAAAGAGGAGTTGGCTGATGGCAAAAATAACACACATGCATGCATTTACGACATGATATGGAACATATGAAATGGATGGTGAGAGTGGGGGAGGGATAAACTTTATTGGCCCACGGGGAGAGATGGGGGAACAAGGACGGGCCTGGGAAAAGTGAATATGGGTGGGAAAACTGAAATGGAATGCTTTAAAAAGGTGCACATACACTTTGTAACCTCCACCGTTCAACTCAGAGATAGATATGTACAGTGCCATACAGATAGACTAAAGTGAGTTTCACTTTGTAGTTGATGCTACTGGTAACAGTTCTACCGTTAGCAAGTCACCATTTAATTCTGCCAGAGTCAGACAAGGCTCTCGGGTTAGTGCAAACAAGGTTTTCCATCCTGGGCTGCAGGCTGACCCGCCAGTGCTCAGAAGGCATGCTTGTGACGAACTCGCACACTTTCCAGTTCCCCACCTCCAATGGCGGCCAGGGTCTCCAGCCTGCTTAAACGCTCCAGACTTCTTCCAAGAACTTCTTCTAGCCGACCGCGTATCACCTGGGCCCCTTCTAATTCCACCTGCAGAGTTCGGTCTCTCTCTGAGCTGAGTAAACATGCCACATGGAAGGAAAACGGATTAGCCATCAACTGTAATGAGTCTACGCATACTTCCAAAGAGCCATGATACTTTCTAAAGGATGCTCTCTAGCACACAGTAAGTGGACACAGTTTTTGTTTGGGCACTGTCATCCTTCACTACGGGCAGATTAGCAAGGCCTGCTCCTTTCTTTAAAGCTTGCCTCTTTATGCTAGACTGTGAGCCAATGTCACATAAAATTATAGTTCCTAAGACTTATCTCATACCCCTATAGCCAACATAAAGAGAAATTTTACTTTTTGATGAGTATTAGTTTCGAAAAACCAAAACCCAGGAAAAACTAAATGCAAACTGAAGCAATACTGAGCCAAGGAGGGTCACTATTGAAGATCTGTGTTCTCTCATTTGGTAACCAGACTGGACAGAGCTCTGAGAAGGAATCCAGTTCAGAGAGACCAAAGATCCAGAGATTCTTTAAAAAGTAATACAATCAACTGATCCTATTGTATCTTTCCTCTGCCTTCATTTTCCTAAAGTAGAAAGAAAAACAAGGCTTAAACTGAACAATCAACTAGAAGAAAATGAATAGTAAAAAAATAAAAATTAGGAAAGAGAAAAAGGGACAAGGGCAGAGGCAGGATGAGAAAAAAAAATAAAGGGAATATAAAATGAACAAGAATGATATACGTGACCCAAAAATCAAGAATACAAGCAAATATATTCACCATGATGGCTATCAGTGATCCTGGGTTGATATTAGCCATCATGGCAAATAAATTTTCTTCAATGATACTCGCTGAGTATCAATACCCTTTATATCCTCACTCCTGGAACAGGACATGGAGCAGAGGAAGGAAGGGAAAACACTGAGTGTTTAGTATACACAAGGCATTATTTTAGACACCTGACCAGTCTTCTCATTTGATCACTGTGTAGCTATATGAGATAGGCGCTATTCCTGACTTAAGACTCAAACACTAGGCTCTGAGAGATCCACACACAACAAATGACAAACAAACAATGACAAACTGAGTAGTCCTAGTAATTGTCTCTGTTTTTTAACTCCCTGCTTTGAGATCATAAGCATCCGCACCTAAAGAGGAATAGAAGGACAAACACTGCCGTTACTCTCCTACCTCTCTGGATGGGCGTGGAACTTCACCAGACTGCTATAGAGCTGTCTCTCTGCTTGCAAAGCCTCATTGAGCCGACTCCGTTCATCTACCAGCCCTTCGAGCATCAGCAGCAACTGAGGAAAGAGCAGAAGCAATACACAAACGGACATGAGACATGAAGCACAGCAGATCCTGAGATAGCAGCCAAAGGAATGTACTCGCATGCACTATGACCAAAAAAACTCACTATTTTACTACTTGCTTAAACTTTCTATTATATTTTACAGTTTTCAAATAAATGTCGCATTACCTTGTTTTTTAATCTTTAAAACTCTATAAGACAGAAGTCAAACATGGAAGCAAGAAGAAAGAGGAGAGAGAGGCCAGAATCACAGGAAAGAGCTAAAAGAAGGGAGTGGAAGGGAAAGAGAGGAAGGGCCAGGAGACATACAGCAGGACTTACTGGTACTCTTCATTCACTCAGTAAAGATTTATTGAGCACATTCTATGTGCCAGGCTCTGTTCTAGGGCTAAACTTACTACCTAGTGGGTGGAGGAGACACCATCAATCGCAGACCTGTATCACAGTGAGCTTTATAGTAAGTGCTGTAAAGAACATGAGCCATGATGTATGCAACCAGCAGAGAGGTCTGTTTAAGTGAACTGCTTGAGTTAAAAGCCAGGACTGGAGTGAAACGAGGAGTTAGTGAGAGAGAGGATAACAAACAGGGAGTACAGGCAAGAAGGTGTTTTTTTAAAAGTCTGGCACTGAAGAGCGGTCAGCTATGGGGTAGTGGCTTGAAAGGAAGTACCAATGTTAGGGGCATCTCTTGCTGCTGCTGACCAAGGCAAGGCAACTTAAGAGCAGATTCTCTATGAAGTTCCATCAACAGACCCTTTCAGAGATCACTGAGATTGACAGCTTTTCCATTGTTTGTGTCATAGTAAAAATAAGGTTTATATTCCAAAGACTTACTTGTTGTCTTCGATTTCCTAAAGTTTCTTGACCCTGTGATTCTACTGAAGCAACTTTTTCCCGAAGAAGTAAGACTTCTTGCGTCAGGCGTTCCATAGCTGGTATGTCTTCAGGATCAACCAGTTGCATCTGTAGGTCCTGAAAGTCAAGGAAAAAAACTAGTAATAGGAATGCGGGGCGCCTGACTGGCTCAGTCAGTGGGGCTTGCAACTCTCGATCTTGGGGCTGTCCAGTGCTATTTAGCAGAGGGGCAAAGAAGCAGATGTCCCTGAAATAGTCTGCTCTACTTTCAAGTGGAATATTGATAAGCCATATGAAATAATACATTCTTTGTGAAATCTCAGCAACTCTAATACAAGTCAGAAAGAATATGGTGATATTAAGGGGCTCAAACTGACAGTGCATCAAGGAAATAAGGACTGGCCAAGGGACTCAGGGTATCCAAATGTCCTTTGAAGATGCCCTACAGGTATTCTGAGCTGTAATCATTTCCAAAAATCTTGAAAAAGCTGTGAAAGACCTTTATGAGGTCTTCTTTAATCTGTATGTTCCTGGTCAGGGACTCCATGTCGGCAGCCTGCACCTGTAGCTCTTCCTCTTGCACGGCCACCATGGACTGTAGCGCAGAAAGTTCCATCTGTGGAGAGAAGAGATCCTGAAGTCGGTGCGCAGAGGACGCAATATCTGTCACACTCCCATTTTAACATTGAGGCCAAGGTTCTTCCATATTGTATCACCATGAGCCAGTAATGCAAGTGCCGACTAGAAGATGAATAACAGTGCTCTAGTGGGTCAAATCAATTAACCACGTGGTGTGGTACCAAAGGGTGTTTTATGGGAAGCTGTAATGGTAGCTTTCAGGATGTCCTCCAGTTTAATTGGCACTGTAAAACATTTCAAATTTGTTTAATTAATGAGTTTATTATGCTGCTTAAAAAAAATGGGTCACCATGAGCAGAGGAGTGAATCCTCCCAACAACCCTAGAGGATCACTATTCTTCCATTCCTCAGTTTACAGAGGAGGTGACTGAGGCAGAGAGAAATTAAGGAAACTGTTCAAAGTCACAGAGCTAGGAAGGGGGAGATCCAGAATGTGAACTCAAGGAAGCAGACTCAGAACACGGAGGTTGTAATGCCTTTCCTGCAGATTCTAACACATCCATATATTCTTTATGGTAATGGCAAGTTATTTGTAAGTACACGTAGTGAGGAGGGTTGTTTTTTTTTTTTTAGATTTTTATTTATTTGTCAGAGAGACAGAGAGGGAGAGAGAGCACAAGCAGGGGGAGAAGCAGGCAGAGGGAGAAGCAGCCTCCCCACTGAGCAGGGAGCCCGATGCGGGACTCCATCCCAGGACCCTGGGATCATGACCTGAGCCGAAGGCAGACGCTAAACCAACTGAGCCACCCGGCGCCCCATGTAAGGAACTATTTGGAGATAATTAAAGGAAACAGGTGTGACCAAAAAGACAGATGATACACACCTAGTTTAAGGTAGAGCCAAGCTTCCTAAAGAAAGCAGCACCTGTTTCTTTAAGAAAGTATAAAATGTAAGTTACAAGTAGTAAAAATTTTACTTCAAATTCCATCAATGATGATAGTTCACTATGTGGGCTGGTGATGATTTATAACTACACAAAGTTATTTGATGTTCTGGGCTCCTTTGGCATGTTAGGAAGAAATGCCTCTCCTGCCATTTCCTTCGATGTTGAAGGACCTCAGTTTAACTCCTGACCCTTCCCCACCCTTTTAGTCAGCCCCAGGCAGGTAAAGGGACTTATCTTAATGGTACGTTGGGGAAGAATAAACCAGGCATGCTTGACTTAGCTCCATCTTTCTTCTTTTTGGGAGGTACCTGCCTGCAGGAAGCCTGTTTTCGCCACTGCTTCTCCAAGAGCGGACTCTTCCTCACCATGTAGAGTGGTCTGCCAAGGCCCAATGTCGTCTGTGACCAGGTAGATAAGTCTACCTAATTCTGGGGATTGGCTAGCATGCCCCTAGGTTCTTGCATTAAGTTCTCTACCTAAGCCTTTATCAGTAATGCAGCCGACAAAATACCAAACCATCTGCCACTACTTTGTTTTCTCTCTCCGTTTGTTCCGATCTTGGGTAAGGGAAAAGGAGTGCTACTTAGGAGGCCCTCTTCAGAGACCTCTATCACTATATAGCCAGGTATTTGCTCCATATTAGAAAAATTCAAACACGAGGAAGAAAACATTATGGCAGCAAGATAAATGTCTGCAGTCAGGCAGACACGGGTTTTGGGTTTTAAATCTTGGCATAATCTCCCTACAAGGCATTTAAACTAAGCTTCAGTTACCTCAATTATAAAATGGAAATAATAGCTACTTTTTAGGGCTATGTGAGAGGAGACAAAATGTATTTAAAAGTGCCTGGCAGGCAATCAGTGAATGTTAACTATTACTACCACTATTACTATGATTTCAAGACAGTAGGGAGAATGCTTAAAAATTCAGGAAAATCGACATGGCTTTTGGTACATAACTAATATCAAAGGGAATGTGATTAATGAATATATATGGCACTGAACTGAGAGGTTGGTAACTGATTAAGGACACAAAAGTAAGCAATATAGCTAAATATCACTTACTCAAAATAACCATTCATAGCCCTAATTTGATGATCCCCCAAACAATACAGAACCAAAAAGTAACATTACTCTTGAATTAAGTATATATGAGAAAAACAGAAACAGCTTATGGAAACCAAAATCTCCAACATGAGTAATCAGATAATGGCTAGAGTGGAACCCCAAAAAAGGAGGGGAGCTAAGGGATTTTTAAAACTGGTATTTTTAAAATGCCATACAATTTCATATCCTCAAAACTTGAGTCATAGAATAGGAGGCTGGTTCTAAGAAGAAACAGAGTAATGAGAAATTAAGAGGTACAGTAAGATAATTTTACCACAAATATGAATACAGGTTTTATATTCTAGATCTAACTCTGGCAAAGAGGTGGACCAAATCTGAGAAGCCAAGAGGCTTGGGAGGTTGGGAGGATTCACTCATCTGCTCATGGTGACCCATTTTTTTAAGCAGCATAATAAACTCATTAATTAAACAAATTTGAAATGTTTTACAGTGCCAATTAAACTGGAGGACATCCTTAAAGCTACCATTACAGCTTCCCATAAAACACCCTTTGGTACCACACCATGTGGTTAATTGATCTGACCCACTAGAGCACTATTATTCATCTTCTAGTTGGCACTTGCATAGACTAGCCAGGTAAACTTAATGTACTGCTGACCCTCTAAAACAGATGCCCTGGTCACATAGAGCCTTTTAGTTTTAGTTGGTAACTGTTCTGTAGCCCTAATACTTCTTCCACATCACAGCTGAATATAACAATCAGCTGTAAAGGGAGGGAGAAGGAGAAGGGATTCTGTAAGGCCGAGAGGCCTCGTCTAAGAAAATTCATGAAAACTCTACTGCTAGAAATACAGCCTAATGGAAAAATGATCTGCTCCAAGTAATGACTTCTTAGCAAGTATTTTGAGTCACAAAAGACCTGAATTTAAATCTTAGCTTTGGTATGTCTTAGTTCTATGGCAATTCCCCACCTCCATGGTTTGGTTTGGTTTGGTTTGGTTTTTTGAGAGAGCTTGCTAAGCAGGTGGGCGGGGGAGGAGCAGAGGGAGAGAAAGAATCTTCAATCTCATGCCCCTGAGATCATGACTGGGCTGAAATCAAGAGTCAGATGCTTATCTGACTAAGCCACCCAGGCGCCCCTTCCTACCTCCATGTTAAAATAAATAAATAAGTAAATCTGCATTTCACCTTCTTCATCTATAAAATAGGTCCAATACCACTTAGTTTGCAGAGCTGTAAGCCTTAGTGTTAATTTAAGTACCCAGTAGAGTACATTGCATATAGCAAGTACTCAATGAATTTATTGATCATCCCCCAAATTCTTCTGTTCCATATTTCTAAAGCTAATTTCATGGATCTAACATCATAATTCTAAGCAGCAATTATATAGTATCTCATTTTTTCACAGATCCTTTATAATGATTCCAGTTAGCAATGGGCAGAGAAAGCAGCCTTTGTCTTTTCAGAACTTAAAAGTTTAATGGTCTCCATTTATAAAAATAAGAGCATCTTTTGAGAAAAGGTGTACATAAAGCAATTTCTATGTTTCTCCAGAAAGAAAAAAAAGCCTTCCTTTGCATTTGGACCTAGCTTTATACTTGGACAACTGTACTCTTTTAAAAATAAACTATTTTGGCATCTCGGCTCTTTCCATAGTTTGGCTATTGTGGACATTGTTGCTATGAACATTGGGCTGCATGTGGCCCTTCTTTTCACTGCATCTGTGTCTTTGGGGTAAATACCCAGTAGTGCAATTGCTGGGTCATAGGGTAGCTCTATTTTTAATTTTTTGAGGAAACTCCACACTGTTTTCCAAAAGTGGCTGTACCAACTTGCATTCCCACCACAGTGTTAAGAGCCGAGATGCCCCTCAACAGACGAATGGATAAAGAAGAAGTGGTCCATATATACAATGGAATATTACTCAGCCATCAGAAAGGATGAATACCCAACTTTTACGTCAACGTGGATAGGACTGGAGGAGATTATGCTAAGTGAAATAAGTCAAGCAGAGAAAGTCAATTATCATACGGTTTCACTTATTTGTAGAACATAAGGAATGGCATGGAAGACATTAGGAGAAGGAAGGGAAAAATGAAGGGGGGGAAATCGGAGAGGGAGACGAACCATGAGAAGACTATGGACTCTGAGAAACAAACTGAGGGTGTTAGAGGGGAGTGAGTGGGGGGATGGGTTAGCCCAGTGATGGGTATTAAAGAGGGCACGTACTGCATGGAGCACTGGGTGTTATACACAAACAATGAATCATGGAACACTACATCAAAAACTAATGATGTAATGTATGGTGACTAACATAATAAAATTAAATTAAAAAAAGAAAAGAAAGATAAACTATTTTGGAAGAAAATAATAGGAATTTTGAAATTAGGCTCACTAGAACACTCACCCGACTTTCTCTTTCTTTTTTAGCCATGAGCTCAAGTTCCTCTTTGGCATTACTCAGTTCCTTTTCCAGCCCCGCAACTGTGTCCAAATCTCCTAAAAATGACCACATAGCACTCGTTTTAATCACTATAACATCATATGACCTCGGCCACTTTGTTTCTGAGGAATTTAGTCTGAATACACAATCTCACAATGACAACAGAAATATATGCACAGATTGTTCTTTGCAGCATTATTTGTAATAGCAAAATACTGCAATCAATCTACATGCCTATAAAAAGAAGAGTGAATAAACTACAGTATATCCATGCAATGAGGGACTATATACAACTCTAAAAAAGAATGAGGAAACTCTTTATGAACTGATACAGAATAATTTCTAAGATATGTTGTTAAGTAAAACAAGTTGGGTACAAAAGAATAAATCTAGTGGAGCCTGTTTTACATTAGGAAAGGGGGACATAAGAACACACACATACACATCACATAGAGACATAGGATTGCTCTCTTACTTTGCAAAAAGAAACATAGGAAGGATAACCCAGAAATGAAATTGGTTGCCTTCGAGGGAGGGGTGAAAACCAGAGAGAAATGTCAGAGAAGCTGATGGGTCTCCTGAGCATACGTTTTTATATATTTGAGTTTTGAACGTTAATATTTATTTTCAATGTGTAAAGTTAGCTCAATAATAATGGGGAAGGAAAAGCCTAAAACTGAATATTAACATAAATAAATGAGCCTATATAATAAATAGATAACATAAGCACCCAGAAAATTAAAAAATTAATCCAAATAATTTTTTGAACTCACTATTCCAACTGTATACCCTCAGTGGGAAATAGTCTAAGGATTAAAAAAATAAAAGAAATCTTAAATATTATTTAATAGACTTATTGTTGGTAGTGATATTCATGTAGCAATTCTAAACTACTTTAGTGTATTGTGCGAATGGGTAAACATATTCATGTTAGAGGTAAGCAGGTTTCTCAAGGTCAAAAAAAGGCAGATACAAATACAAGATAAGGCAAAGAAAGAACCTGTGGTGTTAAATTAGAATTAGAGAAATCAGTATCAAATACACACACACACACACACACACACACACACACACACACACACACACACACACCCTTAGCTCTGAGAAATCAGTATCAAATACACACATACACATACACACACACACACAGCTCTGTTCACCTAAAAGGCCCTAGAAGCAAATGACATACCTGTGACTATGAACCCATCTCATGCCCAGATATGAGTACCTAAGTGCTATTACCCACTTCAAGGAACCAGAGCTCCTTGAAGTAATGGGCAGTTCCAGGGCTGAGGCAGGGAAAGGGAAAGGTGATCACAGAACATCTTATTGCGCGGGAAAGTGTGGACATGCTGAAAAACTGATGGTGACGTATCAAAAGGACAGAGGAACAGCTTGAAGGGGCTCCAACTGGCCAAATCAGGGGTAGTCTGGGCATCAAATGGAATAATGACAGAAACAGATAATAAAATTATTATTTTTTTTAAAAAGAATCCATTAGAACACATTGATATAAAAAAAATGGAGTGGGGGAGAATAGGGAAAGGGCAGCTCCTTATGAAAGAACAGGTGCTAATACACAAGGAAGAAATTTTAGAAATAGAAATCACTTTTTTAAACTACCAACGTAATTGCTGCTTCGGGCAAGGCTGAGAGGATGCCAGAAGCCCTGGGTGAGTGGCTGTGGGAAGACGGTCAACCTCTCAGGGTGCTGGGCGGCAGGTCACCAACACAAAGGGAGAAATGCAGAGGTCTGGCAGATACAATCTTAACTAAGGAAAAATACAAACTGCTATCATGTGCTCCTGACGTGGTGCACTGAGAAAGACCTCACCCTTGTAGTATTCTTGCCGAAAATGTTTAACTTGAACTGAACCATGAGAAAACAATCAGAACCAGACTGAAGGCCATTCGCTGGCCCAGAGTTTTCAAAAATGCCAACGTCAAAAAAGACCAAAAAAGTCTAGAAAACTGTTCTAGACTAAAGGAGACTAACGAGACATGACAACTAAATGCATGCATGGTCCCGGAGGGGGAGACCCAACCACCAGGAACGTTCCCGGGACAATGGGAACTCTAGATATGAACTGTACATTAGGTACCAGGACTAGACCAAGGTTAAATTTCCTGAATGTGATCATTATACTGTAGTTATGTACAAGAATGCCCTTGCTTTTAGGAAATACAAAATGAAGTATTTAGAAATGAAGTGTCATGATATCTAAGTAATTTTTAAAAGGCTTAGAAAAAACATTCCATCCGTGTGTGTGCACGTGAAGAAATAGTGCAAATGTGGCAATAGGTTAATAGGTGGTGAATCTTAATAAAAGTCTGTATGTGTATTCACTGTAGGATTTTTGCCACTTTTCTAGAAGTTTGAAATTTGCAAAATAAAAAATTAGAGGTACTTTTTGAAAAAAGGTAGATAGGGAGTAAATTAAACAAATGAAGCATTCTTTACTCTTTGACTGACAAAGTTTTCCTGCAAAAAAATAGCTACTTGCATGACTTACCTATGGAATTCCATTAATACCTTACACTATAACACAGACACAAACTTTCTACATTCTTCTCCTTTCTTTTTTTTAAAAGTAGCTCCATGCCCAGGCCAGCATGGAGCCCAACATGGGGCTTGAACTCACGACTCTGAGATCAAGACCTGAGCTGAGATGAAGAGTTGGATGCTTATCTGACTGAGCCACCCAGGCGCCCCCTTACATTCTTTAATATCATTAAAAAAATCATAAGTTAATTCTCCAAGTCCACAACCTTTCTTATAGCATTACAATTACCACTATTTCTACAACTCACTGGGTAAATCTCTTCCTTGAAGCTACCCTAGATCCCAACCTTTTGCTCTGTGAAAGTCAGAGACTCTAATCCCCAGCACTCATTTAAGTTTTTCTCCTACTCTTCAATGAATTCATTTGTTTTTAGGGAGTTCAAGACCTACAATCATCTCTTAGATGGCTGTGATCTTGGCAAATAACTTAATGTACACTGCCTCCCCCTCCCAACACTGTAATTCAGGTTATGTCAAGTTACTGTGAGTAGCCTCAGCCTGCTTGTAACATACCCAGGAGAAGGTGTCAGCCCCATTGTCCTGTTGTGTAGGTTGGGAAACACACCTCCTCCATTTCTGAACCCATGAAAAGCTATCTGGAAAGAATGATCAGGAGGCAGTTTCCCTGAGCCAAACTGTACCCAGAACAATAGTCTCAATTCAACACAATGAGGATAGTTCTTTCTAGAAAAGACAGGTCTTCAGCCTTTCAGGGGCAATCTAATTTTTTCCCCCTTATTTTTTTCCATTAAGGTAGGAAAAGAGAGTCTTGGCCAAACCTATTAACAGAGTTACAGAAAGAAAAGACAGAAGATTCCTTAGTGAAATTAAATTTGATACTTACCTAATGAGGACCTGGGTATACTGGTATCCCCTTTGGCAGTCAACGAAATGCTATCATCTTTGGAGGGTATATGCACTGAACCCTAAAAATTGGAAGAGTCAGGGGATTTAGAAAGGTTACAGGAACCATGATCATAATGACAAGGACTTCACACAATTTGGTATTAAAATGATCACTCATGCCTCAGACACAAAAAGAAAAGGCAGTTGCCATGAACATCTATACAAGCATGTAATTCTTACTTGGTCAGTCTGCTCTCTAAGATGGGGGCTGCTGGAGGTAACTTCAGTGAGTTGGTTAGAGATGAGTGCTTGGGACATGAAGTCTTTCCCTCCTAAATACTGGCGCAGGGCCTGTAATTCTGAATTTCTTTCCATCAGGGCTTGTACCATCTTCTCTGCAGTGGCCTAGTAAGGAAATCACACATACCATTAGAAAGATACTCTAGAAAACAAAATTTGTGTTCTGAAGTTATTCGTTAAAAGTCAACTGTTTATGAAAAGCCAGTGGGGGCCCCCCAAAATAGTTTCCTTGCTTTCAGTTTACAGGGAAAAACAGCTGATGAGTGGAAAGAAAGTCTCTCAGAGAAAGAACACTGGAAAAACTGAATATAACACATCTGTTACAGATCAAACAACCTGAAACTGGCTCTGCCAGAACTCGATCAGGCAGAGGTATTAAGATTCTGGTTTGAAGTGGGATAGCAGATGTCCTTTACCCTGGGATACATGTGCCTTTGGGCTGGATGTTCTTTACCCAAACATTCGTTTGGTTTGTGCCCTTTACATCTTTGCCTGCTGATACCTTATCGGATTGGCCTCCTCTGTATATCCTATCTAAAACAGCCATCTTTTCTCTACTCCCAGTTCTCTTTGTCCTGCTAAGTGTTTACAATGCACTTACCATTATCTGATATATGTGTATCAACTGGATGTAAGTTTCCTAAGGGCAGGTTCTATGATGTTTTCTTCAGCGCTGAATCACAAGCACCCAGAACAGTGTCTGGCACATAGTAGGCACTCAATGCATATTTATTGAATGAATCAATTACACGGAAACATTTTTATCAGACCATACAATCATGAGAATCTGAACCTCAAAACCACCAAACCCAGTTTATTTAATTTCAAATCCCAGTTTTCTAAGACAGATGATGGCACAATAAGGAAAAGATCTAGAACATTGTTTGTAACCATTACCACATAGGAAGTCTGCATTTAATCAGAAAATCTGGAAACAATAAACTCAGACTAAAATTACTGGGGATAAAAGATGATGAATCAGTACTGTATTAGCTGTATCAGCATCAACTGGGGACAATTACTACTGTTTTAATGAGAAACTGAGCTCTTGTCATAATTTCTAAGGTAAATAAAAGAATAACCTTACATTTTTAGTAAGTAAATTTTGGGATCTTCAAGGATTTGGACATAACCATCTTAGAGGTTAACACTACATTATTAGTTTGCCTGAATAAAAATCTGCAGAAGTTACTATGGGAAAAAACATAACAAATAACATACAAGATCTCTTCTGTATATGTATATATGATCTATCTGGCTTGGTATTCTTTTTCTAGCAGTGTTGTTTTTAGCAATGGTTCTCCAACGTGGCTTGTGGACCGGCAGCATCACCATCACCTGAAAGCTTGTAAGAAATGCAAATTCTCGACTCCTATCTATACCTCCTAATTTCTGTCCCCAGGAGGAAGCCTGGGAATCTGTGTTTCTAAAGAGCAATCCAGGGGGAATTTCTCCTGCATATAAAATTTAAAAAGCAGATCTAGAATACAACCACTACTCTTTTTCTTGAGTTAAATCAATTTTTTGTAGTTTAGTCATCTGCTAGCTTCTACTTCTTTACTATCAGGAGTGTATAATATTTCTTTCTGAGGTGAAATAAACTAATTCAAGTTACAAAGGGGTTAAAAAGAACACTCATATAAAGACTTCTTTTAGCCTCCTGCCAAAGACTTAAATAATTCAGTGATTTTGTTAGGTCTTCTCTAGAAGCAATTTCTGCAGCTCATGGCAGAATGTTTCTAAGGAAATGTATATTCACTTCAGTGAGCCTAAGGATTAGAAAAGAAGATTATAACCATCCCATGATATAAGGAAGCATTAGAGAATATTATGGTCAAATAACAAAGGCAAATGAAAAGAATCTAGTCCACCCTGAAACTGGCTGGGGGGGTGGGGATTGTGGGTGACTGGTCCCTGAAATGCAGCACACATCTCTAGGCTTGAGGAGAAAGATACCTGGGAATGAGCATAAATTAAAAATTGACTTTTGAGGGGCACCTGAGTGGCTCAGTCAGTTAAGTGTCTGTCTTTGGCTCAGGTCATGATCCTGGGGTAGTAGGATAGAGCTCCCAGCTCAGCAGGGAGTCTGCTTCTCCCTTTCCCTTTGCCCCTCCCCCAGCTCCTGCTCTCTCTCTAATAGATAAAATCTTAAAAAAAAGTAAAATCTCTTAAAAAAAAATTGACTTTTGAAATACCTGTGTACCAGTATTGTAAGATTAATATATTCCATGTTACTATAAATTATTTATTCTCATCATGGCCTTTGAAAAAAAAACAATCTTTTTCCCCTTAAGATAATTCAGATTTTAGGGGCGCCTGGGTGGCTCAGTTGGTTAAGCGACTGCCTTCAGCTCAGGTCATGATCCTAGAGTCCCGGGATCGAGTCCCACATCAGGCTCCCTGCTCAGCAGGGAGTCTGCTTCTCCCTCTGACCCTTCCCCCTCTCATGCTCGCTCGCTCTCTCTCATTCTCTCTCTCAAATAAATAAAATCTTAAAAAAACAAGATAATTCAGATTTTATAAGAATTAAGAAAAAATATGTCAAGTGTAAGTTTTCCCATAACTTGGCTAAAAATAGAAAATATCACGAGTCTTGAGAATTTAGAATCAAAATCAAAACACTCCAGAACCCTGTATTCCCTTCTGTCAAAATTATCAGAATATTAAAGAAAGAAAATGTACAGAATGAAGTTAATGGGTACGTGTGTTATTTGGGCACCCTTCTCAATGCAAAGTGCCTAAAAATCTTGCATGCTCTGATGACAGATGTAAAACCGTAGTCTAGGTAACAGACTAAAAAACCCCTAACAGAATGGACTGCAAAATGACACACACATACACACTACAATGTTCAAACGCTCCCTATTCCCAGACTATAAATGCACTACACTCTTCTGGTCTCTGCATTAGTCCTTACTTGGCTCTCCTGCTCCCTGGTGCTCAGAGACTGAAGCAGGCCTTGAATCTCGATTTCATGTTCCACTGCTTGCTTGTTTCGATCGCTCAGCAGTTCCTGCAGCATCCTTTCCTTTCGCTGTAGGCGCCGGCACAGGTCCTCTGCTATCTCACTCTGTCCCGGTCCGAGCTTACAGAGCAACGTGGCACTAAGATCCTAATACAGAAGGGACACTGTAAGTTCTGGGGGTAAAGAATTCCCTCTACTACATATCAAGGGGTTTATAAGAATCTGGGCTTTTTTCTTTAAATTTTTTTATTGTTATGTTAATCACCATACATTACATCATTAGTTTGTGATGTAGTGTTCCATGATTCATTGTTTGTGCATAACACCCAGTGCTCCACACAGAACGTGCCCTCTTTAAGAATCTGTTATAGAGGGGCGCCTGGGTGGCTCAGTCGTTAAGTATCTGCCTTTGGCTCAGGTCATGGTCCCAGGGTCCTGGGATTAAGCCCTGCCCGCATCGGGCTCCCTGCTCCACGGAAAGCCTGCTTCTCCCTCGCTGCACTCCCCCTTGTTTGTTTCCCTCTCTGGTTGTGGCTCTGTCAAATAAATAAATAAAATCTTAAAAAAAAAAAAAAAAGAATCTGTTATAGAAGAAAGAGCTATGAGATTCTGGAGAACAAGTATCATGTTTTATTCACTTTTGTTTCCCCAGATCTCACACAGGCCGGGTACACAGAAGGCTGTAAGTACATGCTCAACGAATGAGCACTTAACAATACAGAAAAATACTTATAATGGCAACTTACATATTGTTTTCTGAAGTAGGCCCTTTCCTTATTTGCTCAGGGTACATAATAATCAATATTAGATGAGATGAATGGACATGCAGTCCATGTATTTATTTTCTCCCCAGTATAACTTTTGTAGGGGAAACACAAAATAATAAGCTCTAAAAGAATAATGAGCACTATATTTCTCAGCATGGTGATGAAGTTCCTACTTCTATACTGAGAGGTTGTAGATGGTGGTTAAAACTGTGGAACCACACTGCCTGGGCGGCTTACTGACTCTGTCACTTATTAATTATGTTACTTTGGACAAGTTATTTCATTTCAGAAGTCTGTTCCCTTGTCTGTAAATGAAGGATAATAATATATACCTCATAGACTTGTCAGGATTCAGTGAGTTAACATTCATCAAGCAATTATAACAGTGCCTAACAAGCATAAGCACCATCACTAAATAAGGTTAGCTATCACATTATAGGTGGATGTTTTAGTTCTCATTAATTCTCACATGATTTAATTGAGAAAGATAATTGTCACCTTGAGTTTAGAGGTAGAGGAAAAAAAGTCCCAGTGAAAGCCAATGACTCACCCAGGCACAGGATGGAATTTAAGACTTGGGTCACTGGCCCCCCAGACCTAAAGAGTCCCAATCCAAGACTGAGATTATATAATCACTAAACCAACTGCCACTAAACCAATTAGCTAAAGTCTTGCCTCCACTTCTTTGTTCCTGTCATGCAGAGATGTCTGTAACTGCTGAATGATACTTTCTTGTTCCTTCTGCCAATGGCTAAATTTGGTTTCCCTTTCTTCTTTCAGCCATTGGAGGTTTTGACAGGTGGCAGATAACTGCTCTACTTCCAGGCCTTTGGCCCTCAGGAGACTCTCCATACTCTACAGTAACAGAGAAAGCAATGCAAGTCAAAGGACCACCCCACACTCCCCAGGATAAATAAGAAACTTGATCCACCTTCAAATTATCTCCTAAAGTATCAATTTTTTGCAAAAGGAGAAAACTTAGTAACTAATCTAACAATGCCATACTAATCTTTTCTTTGGTTTTAGAAACTCTCATCTAATTTGTTTAGAGAAATAAAAATGAAGCATTTTTGAGGAGGCAGGCTGTACTACACAGGAAGTGAAGGACTTCTTTAAGAAGTGGAAGATGCCTAAATATATAAGCTCTAAAATACATATCCAAAAACAGCCCACAGTAAATATTAATAATCAAGTGTTCTGTGGCTATACAAGGATATGCATGTAATATTAATGAGAAAACAACAGTGTAACAGTCGTATCCTGGCAATGCTTATGTAAAAGTATACAGATATTGACAAGGATTAGAAACAAATCAGGGGCGCCTGGGTGGCGCAGTCATTAAGCGTCTGCCTTCAGCTCAGGTCATGATCCCAGGGTCCCGGGATCAAGCCCCACATCGGACTCCCTGCTCAGCGGGAAGCCTGCTTCTCCCTCTCCCTCTGCTTGCTGCTCCCCCTACTTGTGCTCTCTCTCTGTCAAATAAAGAAAATCTTAAAAAAAAAATCAGAAAGGATAGCTAGAAATCCATATTCACTACTTCCCCCTACAAAGTCCACAGCAGAAGTACTAACATTTCTCACTTCCTAATCTACAATGATGATAACTGTTTTTGTTATTTTCATACTTCTTTTTCTTATAAAGCAAATACCTTGGTTTTCAGAAAATGAAAAGGGTTGATGCTTCAGGCTTAGCATCCAAGTGGGAGAGAGCTATCAACCATGGCAGACTGTGCTCTTACCTGCATGGTAGCTTCATTAGAGGAGAGAATACCACGCAATCTCTCTAAGTCATGATCTCGTTCTCGCACGGCGAGATGAAGTTGACGCAGTTCTTTTTCCTTCTCTTCCAGAGTGGAGAACTTTTCATCGATTGCCCGCTGCAAGGAAAGTAAGGATCCTAAAGCTCCTTAGGATTCACTATTGTGATCACACTTATTCAATAAAAATATAAAGGAAGGGAAGACCAACTCCAAAAGGTAGCATATTAAGTAGACACATATTTCTAAGTACCTATGTGAACAGAACAATCCATAGTGCTGTAAACAAAACTAAGTTGCGTACCTCTAGAGCAACATCTCGATCTTGTATTCTCTGCCGAAGTTTCTCAAGCAACATTTCATCTGCTTCAAGGGTTTTGTCTGACTTATCTCGATATTGCAGGAGCTCCCGAAATTCCTAATGAGACCAAAAGATATTTCCCTTTATTTGTTTATCCAATATGCATCGAATTCCTACACTTTGCTAAACAATTTGTTATTCATGATAAAAAAACAAAATGTTATCACTCTCAAGGAAAACACAGGTTAACAGAGATAACAGAAGACATACAAATTGTTATTGTACACATGTGTATACGTGTGTGTGTGTGTACACATTATATATACATGGGTGTGTATGTCTGCATAGTTAGCTAGCTACTAGTGGAATACAGGATGCACTGTCTAAATCTCCCTGAAGGTGTCACTAAAGATCTCACAAAAGAGGTTACATTTGCTCTGAGTCTTACAGAACTGGGAGTTTCCCAAGTGAAGAGCACGTGGGGGTATTTCTTTTTTTTTTTTTTTTTTTTTTCGTGGGGGTATTTCTATCAGAGAGAAAATGTATGCACAATACATGCACACTATGAAAAAACTATGCTCATCAGAATGTAAGAGATTCAATAGGACTGAAACTTAGAGCAGGAGACTGATCACAGTCTTCTTCAGTGTTCCAAATTCTCCCTCCAACGTTCATTTTATCATGTAAGTAACTGGAAATTTCTATACAGATGTCTTCACCTACTAGACTGAGAACAGTGGTCATATCTTCTGTCTTCCCAGCACTAGCATAGTATCTGGTTCATAGAGGTGTTTAATAACTACTTGCTAAATATTTATTGCTTAAGTCTTTCAGGTCTGTATTTATTATTTCCTACACTTGCTGGTTAGCATTGTGGTTCATGAATTGTACTTTCTACTTATTTTGAATCCTCCTGGTTCCCACCTCTCAATGTTCTACATGTAACGGGTACTCAACACAGGTGGACTAATCTGAGATTACATGAACAGAACTTTCAGAGCTCTGTGAGCCCAGTTTCAGTTAAAATCATTACGTAGACTCACCTGAAGCAGCTGCTCTTTGTGACTCAGACTGTGGTTTAGGTGCTGAATGTGTTGATCATGGGTTCTAATCTCGTTGTGTCTTTCAGTCTCCAGGGTACGAAGCTGTTGGCTTTTACTCTGCAATTCTCCTTGGAGCTGCTGCAAGGCTTTTCGTAATTCCTGAATTAAACAGATTCCCTTTTTCAAACAATCTAAAATTTTCACCTGGTTAGTAGTGAGGCCTTAAAACTTTCAAGGCATACAGAATAAAATATAAAGTAGCAGGAAAGTGCCATTCTTACAATTCCTTTGGAAATATTATACATGAACCAAATAGGATATGGGAAATTGTGGGAACTGTGAATGGCAGTAAGATGTAAATTTCATATTATATAGTTCAATACTTACTCTCTAGTTTAAAAATGATAGCTCTATATAACTACTAAGCAGAACTCTGTCCCACTGTAACCCTGGATAAGCTCAAGGACAGAATATGTCTATCATCCTTTCACATCTTAAAAAAAAAAATGACAGCATATGCTCTAATGTAACAAGATAAAGGAACCACCTAAGAATTTTTTTTTAAAGATGTGGCTAATTGTGCATGCCATTCCTTTGAGTTGGGTTATTGGTTCCCACTATTCTGTCTTGCTAATCTTTCACCCACCCTTCAAGAAGAACCCCAGATAGCTCCTCCTCCATGAAGCTTTCCCTGCCTCCCTTCCTCAACCCCTCCTATATATTCCAATAGGACCCAAACATACTTCCTTTACCTCATTTCAGTATTTACACTAAAATTCTGTTTATGTGACTGTCTCATACTAAACTACAAGTAACTTAAGAGAAGAGAGCCTGTGATACTGACTCCTGTATTTCCAGAACACAGCCCAGTCTCTGGCACATGATATGAGGGCAATAAATGTCAAACTGAATTACTTTGATTAAGCAAGTGACTCAAGGATTCAACACAAACTGTCCTGATAAAAAGTTATTATCAGGGCAAAGTCAGCATCTCTGGCCACAAAACAACTGCCAATTTACCTGGTTATGTTTCCAAGATGCCTCTTTCTGCTGTTCTCTTTCTTGGGCAGCAGCCTCTACAAATTGCACACATCGTTTGGCATCAGCCAGTTGGCGTTCTTTTTGACGTACTACCCTCTGGAGTTTCTGTATTTCAAGCTGGCTGTAGAACAAAGCACTCTGAAGATCAAGCAGAGCCACCTGCTGCTGAGCTGGGGACGTACCCTCTGAGTTCTGAAAAAAGAGGAAAAACCACAATCACAAGGTGGGCAAGCACCAAGCAGCTGAGAAGACCAACAAAAGCAAAACTGTGACTGAACGTGGCACTTCCTCAACTGGAGTCTCGCCTCCTGTCCTATGCGACCCTCACATACATGAAGTTGTCCAAGCTGGCTTTGGTGCAGCATTTCTCGAAGCTTTGCCATTGTGTCATTTTGACCTTCAATCACCTGGTACAACTCCTCGGTCTGAAAATGAGACGGGGAGTACCGAACATATTAGTAAACTAAAAATAAATTCCGTTCTCACCTGTACAGATTTTAGAAATACCAATTTAAAGATTTTTTATTTATTTGACAGAGACAGACACAGCGAGAGAGGGAACACAAGCAGGGGGAGTGGGAGAGGGAGAAGCAGACTTCCCGCAGAGCAGGGACCCCGATGCGGGGCTCGATCCCAGGACTCTGGGATCATGACCTGAGCCGAAGGCAGACGCTTAACTGACTGAGCCACCCAGGCGCCCCTAGAAATACCAATTTAGATTACACTACGATTTCTCTAGGCTAACATCTGTTAGTCTGATGATCTGTTTCTACAAAATATAGAATACGTGTCTACTTTGATGGAACAAATCATTTCCTCACAGGTCCCTGACTACCAAATATTTACCTCATTTTCCCTGCTCTTCAGAGTTTCCTTGAGGCTTTGAATTGTACCGTCTTGCTTCTGAGATGACTCCTGAGCAGACTTGAGTTCACAGCTCATTTCATTCAGTTTCTCTTGAAGAATCTGAATTCGGCAAAGAAAAACAGGTCAATTTCTTTTAACCTCTAAATCAACTAGAAAGTCCTTCCTCAAATCTAGGTTTAAAGGATTTCCTAGAGAATATTACCGTGTTAATTTTTCCCCACATGTAGTAACCATTAAAGCCCTAAATCACTCATTAAGACAAAGTAGCAGGAAATATGAAATACTTAATCCAATATTCAACTGCTTCAATTCTCATGTACTGTGCTTTCTCTGTAATGGGCAGCTGTACTGGGCACTTGTCCACATGAATCACTGTGGATTCTATTTTTTTTTTTTTGAGAAAGAGAGAGTGCATGCGCACGTGCACACTTGCAGACTTGGGGTGGGAATAGGGGCAGGGAGAGAATCTTAAGCAGGCTACTGCCCTGCACAGAGCCAATTGCGGGGCTCGATCTCACCACCCTGAGATCATGACCTGAGCTGAAATCAAGAGCCAGACGCTTAACTTACTGAGCCACCCAGGTGCCCCTCACTGTGGATCCTTTATACAAAGACCAAGGAGTTCTGTTATCTCGGACAGGACGGAACACTACAAGAGTACATCAGGCCACAAGCTCAACATTCAAATTGTGGGCACTGATAAAATTTTCTTCTAAGCAAATGTTAGACACCTTGGGCTCTAAAGGGGTAAGAAGTTAAGTTAAAATCAAAAGCATAAACCTCCTATCTTGGTGCCTTATAGAGTTAAAGACTACATTCAAGTTTTAATTACAGATCTAAAAGGCACCAGAAATTCTGATCTGTGCACAGCAGGCTAAAATCTTGATGAGAGATAAAGAAAGGAAAGAACTACATTTTTAATCAAAAATATTCCTTAGAGCAACAGGAATACACAGTATCCATCTCCCAAGTCCTACGCAGAGAGGTTAAGAGCCTCAGCTAGAGCCAGTCACAACCTCAGGAAGCCCTGTGATCTCCAAGGGCCTGGACTGATCATACCTTGTTGGTGGCCTCCATTTGCTGTATTTTTTCCTGGAGTTCTGCCAAGTGGGAATCAGATACAGACTGCTGAGTTATAATGGTCTCATCTGAATTCAGCTTTTGTTGTTTGAGTAACTCTTCAGTCACAGGCTTGGAAGAAGCAGCAAGAGAAGTAAGTTGAGTTAAATGTAGCCAACAATAAATTTTATCTTCACCAAATGTCTCTGGCATCTTTTGGCAGAGACTTAGAAAACCAAAATTGTTACACCGATTATCAGTACAAATTCCTGAAGACAGTTCTGTTCCTTATTGAGTACTGATTTACTTCCACCCTTATGATACCCCCCTGCTCCCCTTCCTATCTTTCCCTGTGAACTCACACAAACACTACATATTCAGTTAAAGCAAATAATTCATAGTTTAAGCAGAAGAGAAGATTGAAAAAAGGAAATGCTTAAGATGACCAAATATGCATTTTATCCTATTTCTAATCAGGGAATTCAATAATCAAACCTCTACCAGCCCTTAGAGCTAGAAAAGGTACATTTCGACTATGCCCGTTCACATAACTGGAAAAATGGGCAGATTTTGAATATGGACTATACAGTATATTTTATCAATACCGTACTTCCTCAATTTGGTAATTATACTGTAGTTATGTAAGAGATGTTCTTGTCTTTAGGAAACATATGCTTATTTAGTATATAGACTCATAATATCTGCAACTAATTCTTAGATGGTTCAGGAATAAAGAAAATAATGTGTCTATACAGACAGTGCGAGTGAAACAGCAAATGTAGCAAAATATTAGTAATTGGTGAATCTGGATAAATGCTAGCAATCTGTGAATCTGGGAGTTCCTTGTATTTGTCTCATGACTTTTCTATAGATTAAAAATGATTTTGAAATAAAAAGTAAAAAAAATTAAAAATAAATTTCAAAATCCATAATGGTCTGGGAAGGAGGTATGTTTATAGGAATATCAAGTCACCAAAAAGATTCAGGAGGAAAAAAAACACATATTGTTTATTATAATGTAACAATAAATCAGGCTAAGATAAACCTACCGAACTGGACCTAACATTCATTATGAGCTAAGGGTACTAAAATAAAACTGTAGGAATTCACTGTGGCATTAAAATCCATCTCCTTTCTCCCTGACCCTTCCTACTCACCCCCCACACCCATTCCAATTAGGAAAAATATAAATCCATTAGGAAGGGAAAAAGGCAACTGCTGTTCATTTTCCCTTTCCCTCACACTTTCAAACTCTGACTACCACCTTCTAGGCAGTGGGATTAGAGCTTCCCTTAATGCCTTCCTGCCAACAACTGACTGAAAGTATAAAGCTTTCAGAAAAAAAAAGTTTTTTATTCTTCCAACGCTATTTATCAATTTTTTAAAACATCTGTTAAGTATCATAATATGCAAAGCACTGTGGGAGTTGGGAGTGAGGAGCCGTATAATAAAGGAATAAGGAAATACACAAAATACCAGATAGTGACACACCCTATGTTGTAAAACAGAAAAGCATTATAGAGTGGCAAAGTTACTATAAGTTGGTTGACCAGTTACTTTGAACTGGTTAAATGGAGACCTGCAGGACAGAAAGCCAATCCTGTAGAACAATCTAGGCAGAAGGAACAGCTAATGAAAAAGGCTTACAGTGGCTATGAGCCCAGGACAGAAAGGTCTATGTGGTTAGAGTAGCACTTTCCAACAGAAATATAATGTGAGCCATGTATGCAAATTTAAAATTTTGTAGTACCTTCATTGACTAAAGTAAAAAACAGATGAACTCAATTTCAATAAAATACTGTATCTGAGCCAATATATTATATCCAAAGAATTATCATAGATAAAAATTATCAACCAAGTATTTTACTTTCCTTCATACTCAGTCTCTGAAATTCGGGGTGTACTTTATACACACAGCATATCTCAACTCAGGCCAGCCGCATTTCAAGTGTTCAACAGCCACATAAGCCTGGGGGCTACCTTGCTGTCTAGCACAGGGCTAAGGCCTACTGAGCACCGACAAGAGGAAGCCAGGGGCCAGGTCATTCAGAGCTTCTACAGCAGGGTTAAAGAAGCTGGAGTGCATTCTCATTGAAATGAGAATGGACTGCAGTGTTTTTAAAAAAGAAAAGTAATGCAATTGTATTTATATTTTATTTTTTTTTTTAAAGATTTTATTTATTTATTTGAGAGACAGAGAGAATGAGAGAGAAAGCACATGAGATGGGGGTAGGGTCAGAGGGAGAAGCAGACTCCCCGCTGAGCAGGGAGCCCGACGCGGGACTCGATCCAGGGACTCCAGGATCATGACCTGAGCCGAAGGCAGTCGCTTAACCAACTGAGCCACCCAGGCGCCCTGTATTTATATTTTAAAAAGATCACTATAGCTGTGGTGATTGGACTGGGGAGGCCAGTAGGAGCAGGGAGACCACACAGGAGACTGCTTCAGTACTGTAGGTGAAAGAGAGTGGCTGGGATGATAGTGGTAGGAATGGAGGGGGAGAGAAATAGATCTATTTGGACATGTTTTGAAAGGGGAGTCAACAGGGCTGGAGAGGGAGAAAGAGAAAAGAAGCAAAGATGACTCCTAGAAAAACTGAGATATTTGTTACTGTGGGTATAACAGGCAGCCTTGCCCTGAAGCACTGTGAATTATGTCACGCCATGGGAGAAGTAACTGTATGAACAGATATTCACAACAATTCTAACTGATAAAGAAATAATTTTATCATTTATTTAATGATAAAACATTCTCTACAAAACTCGGCTTCTCAGTTCCTCACCGTAAAACACCTTTCCAGTGAAATCTATTATAAATATTTTTCAAATTTAAACCATAACAAGAATTCAAGAAAATAGCTTCAAGTTTAAAATGGCAGGGAAGGTGGTCCTATTTATTCACTTTATTTAAAAGACTTTATTTGAGAGAGAGAGAGAGAGAGAGCAGGAGCACAGAGGTAGGGTGGGAAGGAGAAGCAGACTCCCCCCCCCCCCGGCAGAGAGCCTGATTGTGGGGCTTGATCCCAGGACCCTGAGATCATGATCTGAGCCAAAGGCAGACACCCAATGGACTGAGCACCCGGATGCCCCTATTCACTTTAAACCAAAGAATCTCAGAGTTGTGAAGGAAACTTTATAAACTATCTGGTCTAATCCCATCGTACATTGGAAGAAATGGAGACTTAGAGAAGATAAGGAATGTCTGAAGCTACACAGGAAATCAGGAAAAGGGTCCAGTTAAACCAGATGCACTGAAGCTGGGAATGTATCTTTCAATCTCTATAAACCCACTGGCTACCATATTGCCTGGAATGTTGTAGGGACTAAAAGTTTCTGTTTATTAAGAGAAGAACAAAAAAAACACAAATAAAAACAGGCCTGTCTCCTAATGCCCAGTCCAATGCTCTAATCCTTCGGTGGCTCTTTAGAAATAAGACCAGATCGATAGATATTTAACAAAGACATTTCAACAGCAACTTTAAACCCAAAGAATGCCACAGAACAGTACATGACGAATGTGATTTAATCTGAACCCATCTTGGCATTAATAATCGCAGGAAATCTCTAAATCTGTAAATGTAATGTACTGACCTAAAGGCTGGAAGATGTCTGTTTCGTTTTTATTTATAACACTTTATTATTGAACATCTCAGAAAAATGTCCTTTCAGACAGCGGTGTGTCTGCCAAAAGACCACTTAGCAAAGTCCCCTGAGTTAATGGCTCAGAATGAATTCTTGAGAAATATCAAGTACATAAACCAATATTTCCTAAGACAATTTTATAAAACCTGAAATCAGTAATACTCAATTTGGCTGAATCAGTGCTAATTGCCAGACTATAGGTTACTAAAATCATGTTAACCATACTAATGTAATTTTAAATTAAACTGTCTTTGACTCATTTAGGACAAAAGCTTCCCAGCATCAGAAAAGAGAATTGCTTCCAGGCCTGATGTTGCATAAAATAAGACCTTTAGCCTAAAAAGGCAGTTATTTAGATCTGTGTTAACAGCATTTTTCTTGGCACCTCCTAGTCCTCACAATAGCCAAGTCTTAGATCTGGAACTGCTGTGGTTTTCTATCCTACTGTTAATAATGGGAGATACAAAAGGGCTATCAACTAGCATAAAATTAAAGGCCTAATCTTTGAGCAGCATCTAATGCCTACACCTTCCAAAGGGCCTGATCTAGGTTATGTAGCTAAACTGTGAGAGGGATAAATACTCCATAGCCACACAGGGGCAGACCCTGGTGTTGCAAGGTTTAGAGCAAAGATCTCTTGCTCTGTGAATTTAGATAGAAAAGGAAATTGCACATGAGCCAGAGCTGAATTGATGTTTACTAAGTGACCACACCCCTCCTATCATCTCTTCTAGTTCAGGGCCACACAATAAAGGAAATTACCAGCTAGCATAAGGCTTCAATCTCTTTCTGTAGATATTTAAACTACCTTGGGTTTTCAAGCATAAATTCTGTGGAAAGCAAATAAGTCAATTTGCATAATGCCAGAAAATTAGTAAGCAGGAGTACTACACTGTTGCTATTTTTCTTTAATATAGAACGAGCGCCTGGGTGGCTCAGTTGTTAAGCGTCTGCCTTTGGCTCAGGTCATGATCCCAGGGTCCTGGGATGGAGCCCCGAATCGAGCACCGCATCGGGCACCCTGCTCAGCTGGGAGCCTGCTTCTCGCTCTCCCTCTGCTGCTCCCCCTGCTTGTGCTCTCTCTCTGTGAAATAAATAAAATTTTTAAAAAAGAAAGAAGAGAAAGAAAAAAAGCAATCAGAAGGAACTCTGATGATGACATTTAATAGTGTATAGAATAGGTACGTGGAGGATTAAACAAAGGAATCAAAATGACCTTACAGAACAATCTTGCTCTTTAGGATGAGAGCTGTTCTTTGTATTTGTAGTAGAATTTAACTAAAGAAAAAATTTTTTCTTTCATGGTTTTTTCTTTAAACAACCTAAAAACATAAGTACCAAACTAATTTACATTGATTTCTATTCTTTCCGCATTTATTCAGAGAAACAGACAAAAACCAGTCTGCCTTTGTCCCAGTTAGCTCTGTTCGGACATAAACCACAACAGGCCCTAAGGAGCTTAAAAGTCAACCAGATTTTAACAACAGATCAGAGACCCCAATACAGATTTTATTTACAAACACCCTGAGCCCAATTTAATCTATATCCCCCCACATCCTTAATTACTGGAGAAAGTGGCACAGCAATTAAATGCCATTATTCTTTAAGCTGAATGTTTTCTCCCTCCTCTCAATGTTTTATTACTCTACAAACAGTAAAAAGAATGTAAGCCAAGTGACAGCAGAAAGATTACACACTACAATTTAAAGGTCTATTTTTTCCAGTGTCCAAATGTAATGAAGCAAAGGAACCTGATCTAAAGGTACAGTTACTATAGTTTAAATGTGCTCATTAGGATGACAATTTTCTTCACTGAATCCCTAAAGAATCTCCTTGAAATCTTAGGTTACAGAAAGATTCTTTATTTAAAATATTATTTAATTCAATGTACATCAGGAAATGTGATTTCATATACAGAATAATAAAAAGGTTCTGGCTGAGAATGGTTAAGAATCTTTGACTCGCCTAAGTTATTTAAACCATGAGCTTTCCTCTAAACTGAAAGGCTGCATGAGACAGTCTTTAAAATCCTTCCCAATCATAAAATTTGTTGAGTCCAAGCACCAAATGATAGTATTTTTAATTAAGTGTGGAGAAACAAACTCTTGTTTTGCCTGTAATTTCCTAATTTTCCTTACCTTTCTATAATATTGGCCATATTTGAGGGGGAAAGGGGTTAATCTGCCATCTACCCTGTCCAGATTATCTGTAGATCCTAATATGAAAACACCATGTTTAATTTGTGACATCTATGTCTGGTTGCAGAAATACTGTTAAAACCCAAATTCAACTGTGAAGTTCCACTGAAAGAAAAGGAAGCAAAAGAAAAGAAGTATGGAGAATTAGGCTTTCTAAACATTTTATACAAATGAAAACACAATTTAAAACTTTTTGTTATTTATCCTTTTTCATAATACCTCATATATGTTTCTGACAGTTTTATGTAAATTTAAAAATATTTCTCCCATTTTTCTGCTAAGTTCTAATAATCTGTATCAAGTAGAATATGCCAGATGTTTCACAAAGTTAAGTGAACTTAGCATTCACTGTTGCTGCAGAAACAAAATAGCACCTGTCAGGTCCCCATATATAGCTGAATTTAAAAGGTTGGTATGAAATCAATTGGGCAGAAATGAATAGCTCAAATTAAGATCAAGTGCCATCTTCTAGTCATTAAGAAATTCAAGACTATAATGGAGGAAACCTTTCAAGAGGATGTCAAACATCCTCTTAACAGAGCTCTGTAGGCAAACTGGCTGTGAACAGTTTTTGCCTTAGTGTTTTAAATGACACTTGAATTCCCAGTTTCTTTTATGAGCAAGTCATTAGTCCTCAAATGACTTATTTATTATAAATATTGCCCAAAAAGTACAACACTTTGGTGGATTAATAGGTTTTCCCCAAATCTTTATCCTATGCCCTAATCAGTTGGAGACACACCTCTGGGATGAAACACTTGATGCTCTAGGGAGAACTAACTGAGAACTCCCTCGCGGACTGGGAGAAAACATCTATAAATCTAAAAATGAAAACAAAGCAAAAAAAGAAGGAGGTGGGAGACAGAAAAAGAGGCAAGAGGAAAGAGTTCTAGGGCCAGATATAAGATCAAATGTTTTTTTATAGGGTAAAAGTCAATTAAAAATGTCTTCTTGCCTAAAATTTCTGTGATTTTGATAATTAACAGAAGGCCAATGGATAATGTTACAAGGAGGACTGTGAAAAGCCAGTTAGTTGAGTGTGAATCACGCTTACTAAAATGAGACACAAGCAAAGGTGCCGCAAAAATGGGCTCAGTGATTAGTTCTCTCAAGTGTAGAATATTAACCTTCACCTAGGCAGAAATCATGTGAAGCCTGAGGCCAGCTAACTATAATCAGAAAGGCACTATGTAGCCATTTTGTATACCTGGACCCGAAGTGGCAAATAATCTTCACAGAGATCATCCCACAGCTCCTGGAGGTCTGAAAGCTCCAAGGGATAACTCACAGGTGTCTTGTAAAGGGGTTTCAAAGGCCGGTTATGGAAACCGGAACTAACTCCATCTGTCATGATATGGCCAGGCCTGGCTCCAGGTGGGCTGGATTTCACTGGAATAGGAAGCTTGCTCCCTCGGGGGCTCTGGATAGGCTTATAATCGAGACCTTTAATCATGTTAAGAGCTAGCTCCAGCTTGTGGTTACATATATGCTGTGGAGCCTGTTCATCTGAACAACAGTCGCACTTTGCAAGTTCCTTTGCACTTCTCTCTGTTTCCTCATCCTTTTGTTGTGGAGGACTAGCCTGGACACTTGCATCCAAAGATTCCACAGAGGATCCTGGTGTCCCTTCCTCCATGCTTTCTCCATCTGGGGGTACCTTTGTACTTGGTAAATCCGATGGCCCAACCTCAGACAATGCTGGTTCTTCAGTGCAAATGCTGGTGGACCACCTAGAAGAAGGACCACACGAGATACTTCTGGCCACCTTTCGAGGCACCTTACAAATGGCTTCATAGTCAGAATCAGCGACCCGCAAGGCTGCACAACCACGGCATCTCCTGGGTCGGTTTCCAGGACCTTCCGAACCATGGCAGCTGTGTAGCTCCTGAATCTGATCCTCGTTTTCTACCCAACACTCAAACCCTGAATAGGCAAAGTCTTCCTGGAGCAGTGCAGAGTATCTTACATCGGGTAAGCCGGAAATGTCAACCGTCCCATTCCCCGCCTTGGTTTCCGTGCTGGAGTCATCGTTATTCTTACGATACATGCTAGCAATGCAGAACTTGAGGCGGTCCTTCTCCAGCAGCAGTTTTTGCAAACGCTCAATAGAAAGAGCTTCGATCCGGGCAATAACGGTGTCGAATCTATAGATACGATCAAGCATGAAAGCACACTTGCTGCAAGCAAATTCGGCTTTGCCATCGCGGGCGACATCCTTGCCCAGGACGTGCGAAAGCAGAACCTGGAGGTTGAGCTTAGATGCCGTGTGGAAGATCCAGCGCCGCTGGTTTCCACACAGCTCCCGGGCACAGATCCTGCAAATCTCCTTCATCTTCTCTCCTAGCGATTGCCGAGCTTCCCTGAGGCGGCTGCTGCTTGGTGTTCAATCACTGACGCTTCGCTGCGCTCCGTCTCCCGCCTCGGTGGCCTCCGGCCGGCATGGCACAGTCCGGTGGGGTCCCCACTCTGCAGGGGCGCACCTCCGCCACCCGCGCGCTGGCTCTGGGTACCAGAGTGGGCAGCCCCGCCCCTCGGGAAGGGGGCGGGCGTAGAAACGCCTTAGGGGGATGCTGAGTGACAGCAGCGCAGGCCACGCTCGAAACCTGCCATGTCCCCTCCAGCTGTCTCTCCCGCCTGCCGCCGCGCCCCCAACGTCCTCCCTTCTAGCAGGCTGGGTTCGCGGTACACTAGCAGCAGCCTGCTGCTGACGCAAAAATTCGGAGATCGAGGATCAGATTTCAAGATGGCGCCAGCGCCTCGGCGCCTGCGGCCAGCGGCGGGTTCCTCTGGGAGCTGTAGTCCGGGAGGCCGCTCCCCGCTCTGCGCATGCGCGGTGGCGAGAGTGTTCCCCTCGCCCCAAATCGGGTCGCAGCTCCTCGCGGTGGAACCGAGACCTGGCTCCTTGTGGGTACCGGTGGACAGCAGGACGCGCGCTGGCCACTACCAGGCTCCTTTCATCTGCTAAGATTTCACCCAGCGAACGCACCAGTTCCCTAGTGGATCGTCCCTCCCGCCCTAACGGGATGACCCGAGGATCTGCGTGGGGAGGAGAAAGTTGAATCCCCTCCCCCTCTCTCCACGGCTAGTGCCACGTACTCTGGATAGAACAGCCTGGCAGCGCCACTAGGTACCGCTGCGCGCCGCCTCCCTCCCGCCAGCAGCCCCACCTCTTCTCCCTACCCAGTCGGGTGCCGGGATTAAAAGGCCCTGGGGCTGCAGCGGCGGGCGGGGAAACAGGGTTGATAAACCAGAGGTGGTAGTTAAGACGGATTTTAGAAGGGTACATTCAACCTCTCGCTCGACAATTGGGAGTATCTAGAGAAGAGGACAAGTGTTTCTCTTCCTCGCAGTGCTGGGGGTGGGCGGTGGATTTAGCACTGCTGGACGATTTGCCCTTTTTTAGAAAAGAAAAGAGGACACAAAGCAGTCACCTGAGAAAGAGTCCGGCAAATACCACGTGAGCGCAGCTGGTTAACCAAGATTTTTAAAATAGGAGAAAATGGGTTTTTTCAAGAATGTAGACACCTGAGAGCAGATTACCATCATCAAATTCTCTTTCAGGTTCAGGTGGACTGCAGTCCCTATTTTGGGGGTGGGGAGGGTACGCAAAGTTTAGAACAAAAGACATAGCTTCTTTGAGCAAGAGTACAGAGTGCCAGGGAGTACTGAGGTCTGCAGAATTAGGGCTGGACATTTCACTGACTACAGTTAAGTACCCTGTCTTATTCAACAATATACAGTTGTCACCCCATCCTTGGGTATAGAACTTAGAATGCACACAAACTGGGGGGAAGCTGGAGCTCTGAGTAGGAGGAATCCAGGTGTCAACTTCCATTTATAATAGAGAATTCCCTTCTTGGCTTGAGAGGCATGCAGACACCAGACAGGAAGTAAAACAGTCCCCCCGGCAATCACCTGGAGTCCCCCCAGAGCAGGACATTTCCCAGTTACAAAAATGCTAAATTTCACTGGCTTGCCGTTGGGAGAGGTTAAGGCCAGCAACAGTCTGAAGTATTTCTCAACGTCATCTCTAGGACAGAGCCCATACTCCTAAGCAGGAAGACATTAAAATGCCTTCAATAAGAACCCAGAAAAAAACACCAAACTTCCTATGGAGAATTAAAAGAAATGATTTAGAAGTGTTTTAACAGTGCTTGGCTCATTGGATAATAGCTTATACTGTTATTTCGATATTATAATGGAATATTTTAAGATGATTTTAAAACTTTGTGGGGCTCTGCACCCTTAAGATTGTATTGTTCTCTTATTTAATCAACAAAACAAAATCTTAGTAGCTCCATCTTGAGAGAACAGTCCTTTGTATCTTTGGGTTTGGGAGGTTACAGAACTTTGCATATGTTATTTCACCTAAATATGCATGTTCTGGCCCTAAAACCAAGAATGTAAAATAGACTTCCAAGTAAAACTCACTACAGCTGCATTTTTGCCTGCCTCTAGGTATATGAACTTCAAAGTCAAAAGAAAGTAAACAATCTTTGAAATCTGTAGTGATCTATAGAGAGGCAAAGAGTTTCTGGACTCACCTACCAACAGACAGCATCAGGACTATACCCTGCTGTACCCTGTCTGATGTGTAGTTCTAAAGAGCTGAAAGAACTCAAAAGGTCCATAGAAGTGCAAATTAAGTCCTCTTCCTCAATTGTCAATGCAAGCCGCATTTTCTTACCGGGGAAAAGGCTAATGAAATAAAGTAATTAATGAAACAAAGTATTTTTCAGGAGCAAGTTAAATAATACTTTTTAGTATTCTCTATTCCTTAATAAGATTTTGCATCTGATTAATAGTTTCTAAACTTTAATGACAGTATATAGGTAGCTTGGTGTAGAAGTGCAAATGAGTATAAATGGAGAAAAAGTAGTTTTATCATTGAAGAATAGGTTCGCTAGATATAAGTAAAGATCAACATACAGAGAGAGCTATACATATCTAGGCTTCCAACAACAGATAGGAATAAATCACTCAACAATCACAGAACATTTGGAAATAGCACTCTACTCACTCCTAGAAAATATATTTTAAAAACATTATTTTGAAGTGTATAGTAAACTATTATAGTACTAGAACTGGTCCTAATATGATTATTTGGTATTACAGAATTTCATCCCAACTAAATTTCATCCCATCTAAAAGATCACTGGTGTATAGATAACAAAACTTGAACATAAAAATTAAAAAATAAAACTTACAGGGGCACCTGGATGGCTCAGTCGGTTAAGTATCTGACTTTGGCTCAGGTCATGATCTCAGGGTCCTGAGATAGAGCTGCACTGGGTTCCCTGCTCAGCGGGGAGTCTGCTCCCCCTCTCCTCTGCCCCTTCCCCTGCTCTTGCACACACTCTTTCTCTCCCTAAAATAAATGAATAAAACTTAAAAAAAAAAAACTTAGAAAAATCAGGTGATAATAAATTCAGAACTTCATGGTCCTTATCAATATCACCTTGGTTAATATTTTGCATTTAGTTAATACTGGCTACCTATGGGGAGGGAAATAAAACTGGGGGTTGAATAGGAACATTTACTTTTTTTTTTTTTTAAAGATTTTATTTATTTATTTGAGAGAGAGAGAGAATGAGAGACAGAGAGCATGAGAGATAGGAGGGTCAGAGGGAGAAGCAGACTCCCCGCCAAGCAGGGAGCCCGATGCGGGACTCGATCCCAGGACTCCAGGATCATGACCTGAGCTGAAGGCAGTCGCTTAACCAACTGAGCCACCCAGGTGCCCGGAACATTTACTTTTTTTTATATATATACTATGTGTCATTTGAATTTTTGGAAATAAATGTGTATTCATGTATTTAAATTTTTTTTAATTAGAAAATATTCAATAGTAAAAACTAAGACTGCCAATTTAACACACTAATATCAGAGTCTAAGTGGTAACACTTAAACCTAAAATGAGAATTTTTTAATATATATGGTAACTACATGTATTATATATGTGGACAACTTATATAAACAAAGATTCAAAGGGGATATACAAGTTATTAAATAGTGATTATGTCTGAAGAGTGGAATTATGGATACTTGTTTTCTTCTTCCTTCATTTGTATTCTATAATTTTCTGTATTAAGCATGAATTGCTTTTGTGATAAGACAAAAAACTGTTATTAAGAAATAGGTAAGATAAACACATTTTGATATATTTATACAATACTAGTTGGCAATAAAAAAAAAAAAATCTGATACCCACAACATGAATGAATCTCAAAAGCATGTTAAGTGAAACAAGCCGTATACAAGGCAGTACATTCTGTGTGATTCCTTTTAAGTCTACCAATGAGAAAAATTGAATCCACAGTGGTAGAAGTGCAGAAAGTGGTTATGAGGGATGACATAGGGTAAGAACTGGTTGCAGAGGAGCACAAAGGAATTTTCTGGGGTGATGAAAATGTTCTATATATTGTTTTCAGTGATGGTTACATGGATGTGTACAATTCTCCAAGTTCATTGAACTGAATGCTTAGATCTGTAGATTTTATATATGTTAGAATAGTTCAATAAAAAATAAAAAGGAAATAAATATAAAATATGTATTACCCATAAACTTTTAATCTGAGAGTTTTTTTTGTAGTTAGGAATTAACCCCCACTTTATCATAAGAATAGCTTTGAAAATTGGGAAGATAAAATATGGCCTAGAAAAAATTCTAATAAAAGCCCAACTGCAAATTCAAAACTTTATAAATACTATCCATAGGAGCTTTGAAAAACATTTTATATGCATATGCACACCACACATACATGATTGAAACAAGGCATGCCGATAAGGTAAGACTTGGCGCTTCTGATGGGCGCCTGGGTGGCTCAGTTGGTTGGGCGACTGCCTTCGGCTCAGGTCATGATCCTGGAGTCCCGGGATCGAGTCCCGCATCGGGCTCCCTGCTCAGCAGAGAGTCTGCTTCTCCCTCTCGTGCTCTCTATCTCTCATTCTCTCTCTCTCTCAAATAAATAAATAAAATCTTAAAAAAAAAAAAGACTTGGCGCTTCTGAGATGATTTAGAATAGGATAATTACTTCTAACACTTATCAAAGTTACATTTTAAGGGAAAATTGGACTGAGAACAGGTTTCATAGTATGATAAGCTGTTACGAATTAAATTGTTAATTTTATGTATCAGCAGTTTGACCTCAAAATGTGTTGATAAATGCATTCACAGCACTTATTAGCTATATGTACTAGTTAAATCATTTATATCTGACCTTTAATTTCCTAGTCTACAAAGTAAACTTGTTGAATTTAAACAGTAGATTTTAAATTTTGGCAGGCATCAGAATCCCCTGGAGGGCTTGATAAAACAGATTGCGGGGACCTACCTCCTAGAGTTTCTGATTCAGTTCGCCTTGGGTGGAGCCCAAGAATTTGGATTCCTAACAAATTCCTGGATCTTGCTGATGCTGCTGTCTGGGAATCACACTTTGGAAAATCACTGAATTAGAGCTATCCTAAACTGTATTCAGAAAAATCTCAGTCAAAAGATTAGAAGTTCTGCAGAGTAATAAAAAACCCCATCAATGAAGAACTACTTACAGATTGTCGAATTTAGAGAACTATATTCTCATTTGAATCAAAATTCCTAAGTAGTATTATGGTAAAGATCTTTTGCACTATCTCTATTTTGACCTCTAGATTTTGGGGCCTGGGAAGTATCTCTTAGAACCATAGCCACTTTTGTAACCACTATGTTGTAGAGCTTCTAAGACCTAATTCTAGGGTGGTGAGTTATTTCCA